GTTAAAATATTGACTCTGGCCCATTCAACCTCGCCGTTATTTTTTGGACCCAAAGAAATCAAAGTTCCCGTAAAAATGATCACAAATTAGTTACTTTTCTATGGGGGTCTCCGTACTGTTAGTACATGCATCCTCTTGGCCTTATGCATCGGTTAGTCCATCCGAGTACTCTATTGAAATGCTTTTGAGCGAACCATCAGTCAAATTTTGGTCTGAAATACTTGCAGACATTGTTCTTTATCCAGTCTGTCTGATGCAGGATTTTATTATCATTGATTCTGCATTTTTGGCCCAATCTGCTCTCCATTACATCAACAATCGACTTGTAATAATTGATAAACAGTTGAAGATGGACGATATGAAATTGGACATTAAAGCTATTCAGGATTTGAGAGTGAAATATGTGTTAACTCATCGTTTGGTGAAAAGATTGGGTTCATTCGTGAATCCCTGTTTATTTGGCATATTTTCATATTATGTCTCAATTTTGAATGTCAAAATATACAAAATACTGTTCATTGAACACAATCAGTTCTATTTAACTGTTTCATTAATTGATTTCTTCGGCACGATCACTGAATTGTTTTTACTTATTATACCAATTGCTACAATAACAACAAAATCCCGTGAATTTCATAAGACTTTGTACAAACTAACCTTTAACACTGATTCATTTCACTATCTAAATGAGGTGAACATTTCTCGAGTTTTTCAATCTTCTGCTAAAACAATTAATGCTTTACTTTTTCTTGCAGATTTCACTATTTCTCTACCGGATGAGCTTCAATAATATTGGATTTTCGTTTGGAGGCATTTTCATGATAACGCCAGATTTCACATCTTCATTGATTGCTGTAACGTTTACGATCATTATTGCAATTCCATCATTTATATCTTGAATATTAAGCTAATTCTTTAAATAAATGTCGATCATTTCAGAAAAAATCCAAATTAAAAGTTTGAGTTTCACACGAATTTGATTACTTTATATTTCTCTCGGCTCTTTCAAACTATCCAATTTAGTTATATGGACACACAACTCAAATTTTCGAGTCTTTGGCAGCAGTCTTTGCATTAGACTTGCAAGTTTAACCAGAAAATTGGTTTATTCACCAAGGTATGAGTTAAGATGAGTTTTGTTTGTTGAATAAGTTGTTGCTCGTGCATTTACAACGCAAAAATATGACCCAAATGCGCTAATGGAAAATTATTAAATTTCATTGAATTATTAACTAGACTACTGTTGATAACAGTGAAGTCTGAGCGTGACATATGACTAAAGATTTTAGTAATAAGTTTTTACGGGCAATAGTCACAATAGAACTGTCGTTGAATCGAAAAACGTGTTAGTTCAATTTATATCGATTAATGTAAATTTTCAGCTCTCTAACTCTTATGGTCTCACAGAAAGCGGTCGATTTAACGTAAAAATGAAATGTTCTGTTGTACAGAAACATAATTTTTTCTCAAAATAAGTGCATTTCCTGGTATATAATCAAAATTTACGCAGAATAACGAAGTTTCATGAAAAAATCTGCTTCTATTGTACAACTTTGTTTATCTCAAAACTAACTTGATCTGTTTTAAAGAAAAAAGAAAATGTTATTCCTCAAAATAAGTGCATTTTCTGGTTAGTCATCTAAATTTATATCAGAAAATGAGTTTCATGGAAAAGTCTACTTCCAAAGCTGAAGAAAAGATGATCGAAGTTTAATTTTTCACCTCGATTTTATCTAAAACTGTCGATTGATAAATTTTTGTAATATCACTAATTGACTCAGTTTTTATGTCCCTACAAACCCACACAAGTCCCGATAGTTTTTGCCCATAGTTTCCCCTATTAATTTTTGAAAAGTGAAATCTGTTTTTATCCAAAATAACTAATTTCGTAAAAATGGGCCAATCTCAACCAAATTTTCGTCTGCAATGTCCCATGCCATAGGGATGCTAGATATGAAATTTGGTTGAGATTGGCCAAGTAGTTTTGGCTCTAGAGTGGGTAATTTCCCCACGCTTTTCATAATAAAGCCTTCGCTTACGCTCAGACAATTAGTAAAAGATTGAATTAGTTAAAGAATGATGATTTTAGGTAATGCCATTCTTGAAATATTGAGTCTCAAAGTTTTAAGGCCAATGACCAATATCAAGAGAATTGTTCATAAATTGAAAAAAGTGTTTGGTAATTGATGAGCACAAACAATATTTACGCACAAATAATAGGTTTCACCTCTTTAAATCTTACGGCCAAAGAAAAGGATCGGTTTAACTGTAAATCGAACTAATCTGTTTCACAGAAAAAGAAAGGTTCTAGTTCTCGAAATAAGTATTATACATTGTATCATTGATCATCATTGAAAATTCACATCATTAAAGAGAGACATGGACATGACCATCATGCCATGATAGCCTATGTTGAATGCTTGTTCAATACTCGAATTGATTAAATGCCAATTTAATTGTCGATTGTACTAAACAAATAGGTTGACGTTATTTGAAAAATTGTTTTATAGATGAAAATCAAAAGTATTTTTGCATGTTTTGAATCAATGCCAAGTGAATAACAATAGACGATATAATTAGCCTTCAATTTCACTCTATATTCCTAACTCATATTGTAATAAAGGTATTATTTGTATTATTTGTGTCCATCGGTTCATGTACTCAACGTTTAAACAAGTTTTTCATTGTAACCTGACTCTAGAAATTAGACGTTCAAATTTTCGTTCGAGTTCAAAGTTGATCCTTTGTTAAGGGCATAAAATTGAGTCAACTTGTTCACCTAAAAGATTTCTCTGGTCCACAGTTTCTAGAAAATTGGATTCAAAATTGAAACTTACAGTTGATTTTTCACCAAACTTTTACTCTTTACTCGAAAGATAAAGTTTTACATAAATTCCTGACCCAACAATGAACAATTATCAAAGATCTAAATTCTGAAGTGATTTTTTTAATAGTTGAATTAGGGCTTTCATGCTGTGTAATTTTTTTGTTAGAACCCGCTCAGTTCGGCCACAATTTTGACGCAAATTGATACATTGACTTTTTATATTGTTCAGATGAATAGACTGTATCAATTGTCGTTGCAGTTAGTACCTTTCATCAAGTTACTTAAATTTCAACCATTCAATCCATTCGTTCAATTTAAACTTGATATCGACCAAGATTTTTATCAACATTTACTGGCCATTCAAATTGGTACTTTCTTTGCTCAATTCAACCTCATGTTGCTCATGTTACTATTGCTCCATCATATCATTTGACATTCCAATGCAATATCAATTTCATTAGCTTTTGTCTTAAATTATCTTTTCGTCAAGTGACTTGAGTATCATGGACGAACAAATATAGTATTTAATGTAATTTAATGAATCCCAGTACAAATGATAAAAAATTTACTCCCATTAAGACTGTTTTGAAATTAAAATTTGAATAGATGAACGTTATTGTCCCATTTAATCACGAAGATCATGTTTATAGTCATAATCTTCATATCAACTGAAGAGTCGATCAATTGTTTTCTTGATACAATAACAGATAAAATTCCAATTCTAATTAATGTGCTTCAAGATTATATCAAGAAGAACAAAAAATACATTTCGATATCGACTAATGTTATCTGCATTGAGAGTGATCTGACATGTGTTAATATTTGATCTATGATGCGATTTTTGTGTATAAAAAGAGGCTTTGCCGTCAACCTGAAGCCATAACAGTTTTAATTTCTTACTATTTGATTACTAAATTTACTTTCAAACTTAAAGTTAAAAATGAAATCAACTCTATTTGTTGCTTTAATTGCTCTTGCAATTTCAGGTTCATTTGCAGTTTTACTCAAAGGTTCATGTCCAAAACCAGAGAAACCCAAAGTTGATAATTGGGCCTTTTCAAATGTAAGTTTACTTTCACTCCAATCGTTATTGTTATTAATTTTATCTAATTAGCTTCTAGGAGACTGGAAGGTCTTATATCGAAGTGAGGAAACAGTTCCGAGATCAGTCTGGAACACCCTTGAAATTCATCACCTTTACCCTGGAAAAGTCGTCATGATTGAGTATGGCAATGCTCGCGATAGGTAAGTTTCAATTATAAGCTTGTTTATTGTATCTTAATCATAACTCATTTGATTCTTCAAGTGATGTAAAGTCACTATGGGACTTATACATGGACATGACTGTTGGTGATTTTGGTGGTAAATCATATTACGATGTTCTTACCAATGAATTCGATCCCTACTCATTCAACTTCACAACCTCAGGTAAACAATGAATTTTCATCTTTCCGTTGATGCAAAGAGTTTAAATAACACTTGACATTCATTTCCGATGGACATCAAGGCCAGATCACGGTACCTTATTTTGCGTCGCCCTAAGTATGCTGAAGCCCTCTTGGCAAGTTGTGTTAAAATTGATGAGACAG